GCGGCTTTTCGTTGGGAACCCTAACCGGAGCCTTCGACTCAAAAATCTGGCCCACAAGGCAGTGGGGCGTAAATCCAACGTGGGAGCGTGAACGAAGCACCCGTGTGGTAGCTTCTATCGACCTGTCACGCAAGGCCTTAGAATTTCGGTTCATTGTGTGGTTCGCTGGTGCGTTGATTGTCGGTCCGCTTTTCGGGATCCTCCCTTAGCCTCATGCACCCAATGAGACAAGCGGAGCGTGGACAGGATAGCACCTTATTGGCTGGGGGCTGCCCAGTTTGGGCGGGCTGTAGCGGTCCAATAAAGTGCGAAGACTTCTCCCACCGTCGATAGGAGGCCCCAGGTACACCGCTCCTACGTCCATCTAGCGGGGGATTTTGAGCGGTAAACTGCTCCTCACCGTTCTGATTTGCTGGAGTGGATAGTCGAGGAAAGGCAAGAAGTGCCCTGACAGCTGGCTTGTGAGACTGAGCTTCGTCTGGCCTCTACCCGTTGACCTTTCGGGCATGATTGGATCTACGGCTATGGAAAGCCATCCTGTTTGGCTCGCAGGATCCTGAGGGCACGCAAGCCATCACACCACGTCAGGGTGGTGTTTTGTACGCCTCTACTTGTTGGTTTGAAGTCGGATTGTTCTGTCAACAATGTGTAATATAGGTGCCGGTAGGCTCCTTATATGAAGACCCGAGATCATGGTAACCGGTGACTAGAGACTGATTGATATGGATGGGTGTCGTAACCAGTGGCGTTCGTGCGTCTACTCATTATTCTTGCAACCCCAGTCTTTATCTTCTTTTTGACTCTGCTCTTGACATTCCATCTTTATTCCTAAGCAGCCAAAACCAGCGCGTGAAAGTGCGTTGTTGAATATTCTGACTCGAACGTCAGGATTTCAGACTGTCTAATCTAGGGTACGCAAACGATATTGTGCTACTCAGTGAAGATACAGGTAAGTTGCAAGCTTTCCTGGATAGTTCGAATGCCAGTGTAGCCATGTTCGGTACGCGTTTTGCACCTTCAAAGTATAAAATGTTGCGCCAAGTTTAGTTTGGTTCGGCCTCAGACGAAACCCTGACTGGAGCAGTAGTAGAGGTCTTAGAGAAGTTTTGCTATCTGAACAGCTATATCTCACCTGGTGGATGCATCACAGATGAAGTGTCGGCGCGCATACAAAAGCTTCGGCGGGCATTTGCTAGCTTGAGACATTTGTGGGGCCGCCGCGACATCCGGCTGTCTGTGAAAGCTCGCGTATATGCCATCTATAGTTTGGCCGGTCGTGCTCTACGGTGCACAGACTTGGCCATTACGGAAACAGGATAAAAATAGATTATCGATGCTCGAATACCCTTGTCTACGTAGCATTGCACGTGTCTGGTGGGGAAACCTGACGAGCAGTGCTGAAGTTAGGCGTAGATTCTTAGATAATCGTGGCCGTCCACTGGAGCTAGTGGTCGACCTCCATAGATTACGTTGGTTGAGGCATGTGTTACGCATGTCACGAGATAGATAGCTACAGTGAGCTATGTTTGCCGAGGCAGGTAGCGGTTGGACGAAAGTCATGGGTGGTCAAACTTGGACCTGGCATGAGTGTGTGAAAACCCTGACCAGGAGACTGGCTCAGGTAGATCCCGTTGGGTTCCCTGGCTGGGGATCCCGAGATGATGGTCACCAATGGTTAGAGACGCAGAGCGATATGGCTGGATGTCGCGAACTGTCACGCTCATACATTTGCTAATTATTCTTGTAATACCAGTCTCTGTGAATTCTCTATCTTCTCTTTCATCCAAATGGTCGACCATAGACCTGCAACCAAACGCGGCTTCCGAAGTGCATGGGTAATGGTTGTAAAATTTTAGAAAACAGACGGTCTTTCGGAGACAGGTTAGCCCGCCATGCGGTAACATGATGGTTGGAGTGAGACGCCGATTGGTAGTGTTCGAATGTAATCTTCAGGATGATGGGCTGACGGCCCCTAATCGTTCGACAGTCACTCGAGAACAGGCTGTTCTAAAGTGAGGGATTGTAGGAACCGTTTTATTCCCGTCCCATTCAAATGGTGGACTTCAGTACACCTGACCACCTACTGGTTTTACCGCATCACAATCAATGTAACAAAGTTCAGATCAACAGGTGTATTATAAGCGTCAGTTGCATTTTCTTATCTCTCTCTGTTTGTTTGGTATAATATCTATACATAAATGCACACATACATATAGTCTGGCAAATCGACGGTTTAGTGATCAACACTTGTTAAAAGATCTGTTCACTTTGCAGAATAAATTATAACATTTTACTAAAAAGCCTACTCATGCTGTACGTTTCTGCTTCATAACGTTTGCAATTTATTATCACCTGATACTAAGCAACTTTTTCCCCTTCTAATCATTTTTGTCTCTTACTACTTTCCGCTTTTGACAATCAATGTAGAAAGAGGAAGTAGAGCACACAATGACAGAGAACCGTGTACTTCAGCAATGTCGCCATCCCTTCATGACTGAATTACGCTACTCCTTCACTACACCGGATCGGCTTTGTTTTGTGATGGAATATGTCAATGGTGGGGAATTGTATTTTCATCTCTCCCGTGAGCACTTCTTCTCAGAGGAAAGGACACGATTCTATGCTGCAGAAATCACACTGGCCCTCGGTTATTTACATGGTCAGAATGTTGTGTATCGGTACGTCGTGCACTTCATAATTTTATTTTAGTGTTCTTGATCGTTAACAAGGGATTAACCTTATTTTTGTATGATACACGGTTATGCAAAGTTTTCCTAGAAGACAGTGAAAACATTAATTAGGAACATCTTTATGAATGGCATTTTTACCGGTTATCAATCACCTCTCCATTTTATGTATTCCAGAGATTTGAAATTGGAAAATCTTTTGCTCGACAAGGATGGACATATTAAAATAGCAGATTTCGGACTTTGCAAAGAAGAGATGTACTATGGTGCTTTTACAAAAACTTTTTGCGGAACCCCGGAATACCTAGCTCCCGAAGTTCTACTGGACAATGACTACGGTAGAGCCGTAGATTGGTGGGGTCTGGGAGTGGTAATGTATGAAATGCTGTGCGGTCGTTTACCTTTCTACTCAACAGAACATGAAATTTTGTTTGAACTGATTCTTCAGGTACGTTTAGATTAAGTAGTACCTTTGCTTGCCGCATTGCTCTGGATGAAGGCCATATTCCTGACGTTTGTGATGCTAACTGTGATCATGAGGAAGAAAGAACAAAACTCTCTTCGCCCATTGCCGCTAATCATCTGCGACTGAAGTGATGTCCATCTACTTCTGGTCAACCGTTTAAGTGTTTTTTTATTACCGACCTTGAGACGCACTTGGTGGTGTAGAACTACGCTTGCCTTAGACTTTGAGTCACTAATTACGTGATTAAAACTGTTGTGTGGTATTGTGTGAACCACCTTGTGCTATCCTATCAGGGTTTGGCGTTGATTTGTCCAATCACCTAAGTGCAAAAGGACGTATCATAACAAATGTGGGCGAGCGGAAAAATGTCAGTTTCATCCGTTGTGTGCAAGGGTTGAGCAAAAAGTTTCTCTAAGTATTCTCCACCAGCGTTCATGCGCAGTTCCATGCGCACAAACCATTTGATGAAATAGCTCAATTATACTGAAGCGGGTAACCCTTCGACCGTTCAACAAAGGCCTCCACTGCAGTTTTTGGTGACTCGGATAAGATTCCATGCATCATGCTCTTGGCACTTGGGAACACAGTTCTTCTTGAAGTCGCATCATCTCTAAAGCTAGCTCATAAACGATCGATTGCGAGCAAGCTTGGTGCCTACGCAACAACAAGAATAACAGAACATGGAGGTGGGGTGGGAGACGGGATACAGAGCATACATGGGGGCCAGTTTTTTTGTTCCACCACTTTGATATTTCGCGTGTTAGTTAATCTTTTTATGGGGCACCATAGACTACAGTTCACGTTTTTATTGCCCGGTCATCTGTACCTCATACGGGTACTGAGTATCCGGAATTTTTCTGCTCAACCCTCGTACTATTCCACACACTTGAATCCAGAAGTAATGCCAAATAAATAACACTACAACAACCTTGATAACAAGGAAACTGATCCATGATTTTCTCGTGACCGAAACTTTTTCATGTTACTCTGGTCATACTGGTTATTAACGGGTTTTAAGAAATGGCTCTTAATGAGAATATAGTGTGTATGTTTATTTACTTTAAACCCTGTATCCTCTTTTAGTTAACCTAATGTTACTACTTTACTTGGCTGCATCAAGATGGATACTTAACGGTGTTCGGTTTCATTTGCCATTCAGGAAAATGTGGAATTTCCTTCTCGTCTTTCTTGCGAAGCGCAGGACATTTTATCCAAACTTCTCATCAAAGATCCTACTAAGCGTTTAGGCGGAGGCCCTGGTGATGCCCTTGAAGTGATGAAACATCAATTTTTCTTTCTCGTCGATTGGGATAGACTTGTGAGGAAGTAAGTCATTTGTTTGTACTGAAGAAAAATTGGTTCAACCTAAGCCGCATGATTGATGTATGTTCTAAACTGTTTGGTAAAGCAAATACAGCTTAATTATATGCTAGCGATTACTTTGCTTTGTGATCGATCTTGCGTCACAGCGCTCGATTTTTTGCTTGAAAGTACGGATCGGCAGACCAAAATCTGCCAATCATCAGACTATCCGTGCTTCCATTTCACAACACTGAATATCTCTTCCTTATTTCTGGTAACATTTGTTCCACTCATCAGTAATTTCCTTTACCATTTTTTCATTTTCATTTTACTTCCTTTTATTGAGTAAAGAAAGATACAATTTTCATGAAGGGCGAAGCGGCCACTCAAAGGGCTGTCATAGCACACATTACGGGATAGACAGACGGTGGCGGTGGGATTCGAACACACGTCCTCCGAGGTGATAATTGGTGACGTTACCACATGGCCACCACCGCCCGATGAGCTTAGGTTGTGTAGTCAAGTCTAGGTCAAAATAGGCAGTGTCTTATGGCAACCAGTTTCAGATTCCAAAACATCGGAGAATGTGTTGTGTCGTTCCCGATCAATCACCATGTAACAGACAACAAGATATCACAGGATGACACACAAGGTAACACAATATAGGACAATGCACAGTGACACAGACCGGCGTGAGACACAATGTGCCCGGAGTGGAGTCGATGGTACACAGCACAACAATGATAGTGACACTCACCATCGGCAATGAACGGCGAAACACAGACTGGACACTCACAGACGACGTGCGCGATACAACAGAGCGTGGACGCACAAAGAAACACGAGGTAGGTCCGAACACTACGGAGCACGTACCTCAACGGCCACACTAGTCGTCTAGCCCCACGAGTACGATCACAGCACAGATTGGACGCCACGAGCACTAGTAGCCTTCTCCCAGCTACGTAAGGGAGAACATAGATGATGCATGGCGAACGTGTACTTGACACACAGGAAGCAAGTCAAATTCACAGTGGAAAAATCAGCTATTTATATACTGTTCTGGTCTCCGGACACAAAGACCTTGAGAATTGATGCAAAAAATGAGGAAATTTGCAGAATGTACCAATCAGCGACCGCCAGTTGGGTGTGGACGATTAACACCAAGAAAAAGCGCCAAAGAAAGTTTAAATTATAAAAAAATAAATTTGAAGGTACTCGAAAAATAGGCAGTTTTGGGTAAAAGTAGTCTCTTCACCTAACAGAATGTTTTCATTTCAACCAGTCGCTAGCAATTTCAGGTTATCAACGGGCACTCATGGTCGCTTGTTTACTGTCGCAAGCAGAGTTTGTGTATACTGTAACAGCAGTTAATGTCCGTTTGGTAGAGAATAATTGAAGTTTTGTTATGACGCGAGAAAAACAATACTGCGCGTTAGAAGCGCGAAATTTATTGTTTTTGACTTGCCTAACTAACTAACCAACCAAGAAGCGGTACACTACCCGAATAAAATAGGTGATCATGAACAAACCGTTGGAGACAAAAGTATCCGTGATTCAAAACAACCGTTTTGTGTGTTATGTCATTTATCCGTACCCGTAATGAAAGTATATTCCTCTTTCAGCGCTATTTACTCGGAATCAGTTTAGTTGTGCGAACTTATTCTTGTTTGAGTTTCAGTTGACTGAATGTTAGGAGACTTTCTGCTTGAAGTCGCTTTTTGTCCATGTTAGCGGGAGTAGAATATTTCGCATCAACCTCATCAGTTTGCAATGCACTCCCATGCATGCCCGGGATCAGGGAAACAGAAGAGCTAGTAAACTCTTGATGTATGCTCAAATGGGTTTTGGGGTTCGTTGAGATGGATGCAGTCACAGTGTCTATCATGCCCGAACATGTTTAGCTTTGTGAATGTGTCTCGGTCATTCGACCCAATCCCACACCATTCTGTTACGCTTTGTGTTTAGTCCCAGGACCATCCAGAAAATCCTCGGATATTTATTGATAGGGGTTTCTTTTTAAGCTTTGCCAAATGTAATATTGAAGTAATCGCAATCTATTTACAGTTTTGCTTTCGCGTTGCAGACGTTTTGTATTTCCCGTCTGTAATGTGCATTGCTATTCCATGTTTGCAATTCAGAGATATCCTTGCGCCCTGGAAACCGG